AGGCCCGGTTACACCATTACGAAGAATCTGGAATCAGCAATTATCAAAAGCAGTGCCTTGCAAGACATTCGTGGGTATAGTGGCACTATGGGGGCTGCTACTGGTGGGGAACCAAATCGATCATATGTCAGTGGTCAATTTGAATCATATAGAGAAAGGCCTCAATATATGGGGAGTGGGAGAACTCAAGGTGCTGAGAGAAGGGTTCCATACCCAGAAGGCCGTGTCTACAATACCGGTGCCCGCTATTACTAATGGGAACTTGTTACCTTTGCTAAATTGGACACGTCCTTGCTCTCAATGGCTTTTGGAACTTTTGAGTTATCTGGCAATCAGATTTTGAACCCTAGTTGCTATATTTAGAATTTGCTGTAAATACAAGTATCTATAAGCTCCTATCTGACCCTCTTACTAGATATATGGATCCTTATCGCCAAAGTTTCTGTTAATTGACACTGGTTTCTTGGCATGCTGGGATCCCTTTCAGTTCAAGAACCTAAGAATGCTTGACGACGATAATTGGAACAGGTTTATGCATATTGATAGCTGTGAGAACCATGGACTGCATGATTTTCCATCATTATTCTTCTAGTTTTAGCCATCTTTATGAGTTATTTTTTCCGCCCACAGTTCTACAAGCAGTATGTTAGGCTTTTTCCACCCATTTCAATCAGTCAAGCAATTGACAGATTGAAAGAAGTTTTTGGATACTAGAATAGTTAACACTTGCTTGAGAGTGAAACCCTGAAGTTAATTTTAGTTTTCTGCCATCGCCAACTACATGTCTCTCCCGTCCTGTCCTGTCCTGTGTGTCAAACACTAGCAACCCTAGGTGCCTCGTTGGTAAAGATAAGATGAGACTAACTTCATTATCAAGTTATATCTGAAATGTAATAAAAGGTGACACCATCCTTAGTATCTTCCTATCAATTTTATTCTTGATTTAGATCTGAAATGTGATAAACTTAAAGTTTGATGGTTCTCTGTCTTTGTTTTGGAAGCTCGGCTCCTACTGCTGTTGCAACAGCAATTAGATATCTATTACTCTTCGTTTGGAACTATTACACACCATTTGTTATTGCCACAAGGGAAAACAACTAAAGAGTCGACATAATCAAGTGATCAAGGGCAGGAAACACTCTGATTCAATGATGTGCAAAACTAGCACTGGCTTGTCAACTAATTGATTACCCTTTTCTTTTTCGTTTACTAAATGTGCTTCTCTTTCCTTGTTCATTGAGTCTCCAGAAGACATTTGGAAGATCAAGCTTTTTATATAACTAAACGACATACATGAAAAGCAGTGTAAGGTTTTGTTAAGTAATGTGCGCTCGACGAGATAATGGTGAGTTAATGTTAGTGACTCGTAATCTAAACTTGAGAGTCTATCTGGTCCAGGAGCTGCTTCTGAACTTTTCCAAAAAAAAAAAATATTGGGCTCTTATGCTTGTATCTCAGCAGAGACTATCAACCATATGCTGAAAATATTGGTTCAAAGAATAAAATATAGTTTTGACGAGAGATTAGTGATAACTTATATTAAATATTTATTGTAAGAACGAAAATACACCAGCGTGAGATCTTTAAAGAAAAAACAAATTTGAACGCATATCCCCCACAAGAGGTTGTTGAGAATTTCATTGCTAAATTTCTGTAATTTATTATTGTATGCCACCTGATACAATTGAAAATTTACTCGGGAGTAAAAATTGAAATCGTAGCTTTAAAAGGTTAATTTAGACCCACGGACAAACGGAAATGAAAATTTATCATTCTATGATTTAACAAGTGAAACGAAAAAAAAAAAAATCAAAGTCAGCGAAAGAGTAGTCAGGAGAGGAGTCTTCCTCAAAATTTCATATCCATTTCCTTGTATGTTACATATATCAGAACACAGCCAAGAAGTTCAGCAGAGCCATGGCCCATATTCAAGCCCTATGAACATTACAATTACAACCAATGTCCTTGGATTTTGATTGAAAGACATACAAAATTGTGACAATCTATGCTGGCAATGCACCATAAATTTACCCCAATAGACCGAGAAACTTATAGCAAACACAACTACTGCATTTTGAGGAAAGCCTAACTGGTGGCATACCTTTGCCAGCAGCATATAAATTCCAGGAGACTGGCTGAAACAGCAACCTCCTCAGTAAATCTCCTATCATTATAATTGCCAATCCATCAAAACGGACGATACCCATCTGCTATGTAATCGCATTATTCACTTCTTCCTCTGCTTATGCTTAACTTTGACAAATTTTCGGGCTGATTTATCACCCCCACCAGTGCCCAATGAAAAACTACCTCCAGCATTAAATTCAAGACTACCAGAAGCCTGAAACGGAGAAGGGTTTTGTGGGGCAGCTATATTCTGCTGGCCAAACTGGAAGGGACTAGCTCCTGATGGAGCAGTTGCACCAAACACAAAACCTGACTGAGGTGGCAAGATGGTTGGTTGACCAAATGCTGGAGTTGGAGGTGTCGTTGCCTGAACAGTGTCTTCTGCCATGCTGTCCTCCATGTTCATCTGTTCATTATTGCTCGTGGGAGCTGAATTGAAAGCAAACCCTGGGGAGTTGCTAAAAACTGGCTGTGAGGAGGTAGCAGCTGCAGCTGAACTAAAAGAAAAAACTGATGATGATGATGGTGCACCGGTGGATGATCCAAAGAAAATAGGTGAACCATTAGATGCAGCAGCAGAAACTGAGGATGCACCATAAGAAAAGCCAGTTGACAAAGATGAAGAGTTAAATGCAGAACTAAATATGGAAGAACCGGGAGATTGCCAACTAGAACCAAAAACACCTGAAGTGGAGCTATTTGCGGAGCTACTAGAGTTGGCAACTGAAGAGGAAGACGAAAGTCCGAAAGTAGAACCTGAACTAAAAGTTTTAGATCCTGTGGCTGAAGAGGCAAACAGAGAACCCCCAGAAGAAAAAGCAGTGTTCCCAGCTAACCCAAATGAAGGAGATGATGCTGACGAACCAAAATGAATAGGGATGCTTTGAGTTGAAACTGCTCCTCCGGTTCCAACTGCAGATATTTGGACATTATTGGCCACAAACGGATTTGAACATTGCGACTGATTGATAGCTGCAGAAGTAGTTGAAGCACTACATCCAAAAATGCTACTTCCTGTACTCAAAGAAGTGCCACCAAAAATGCTACTTCCTGTACTCAAAGAGGTACCACCAAAAATGTTACTTCCTGTGCTTGCCATTGTGGAAGTCGCGCCACAAAATATGTTGCTTCCTGTGCTTCCCATTGTGGAAGATGTGCCCCCAAAAATGCTGCTTCCCGTGCTTGCCACAGTACTGCTTCCTGTACTTGCCACTGAGGAAGATGGAACACCAAAAATGCTGCTTCCCATGCCCATGATTGTTGAAGATGTCTCACCAAAAATGCTGCTGCCATTATTTCCAATTGCAGAAGATGTGCCACCAAAAGTAACGCTCCCAGTGCCTGCAGCTGTGGGAGATGTAACACTGAAAGGGCTAGCCACTAGGCTGGCACTCATGGAAGATGTGTTAGCAGGTTTGCTACTTTCTGCGGTTGTAACTGATAGAACACTTGTAGATTTGCCAAAACTTTTCTCTTTGGCCTTGGCTTCGGTGTCTGACACATTGTCTATAGAAACTGTTGAAGCTGAAGTCATAGGGGACCCAAACTTGAAAATAGTTGGAGCACTGGACAAGGACGGTGATGAAGCTGGAATAGGAAGGCTACAAGGCCCGCTGGTTTCCATGCTGTTACTTGTGGCTAAGGTTACAATGCCACTGCTGCTGCTGGTTGCAAGAGACTGAGAAGAGCTATTTAAGTTTGTTTCATTAGGGCCATTACTGGAAGCCAGAGGTGAAATTGAGGAGAACAGAGGTCTTGTGGGAAGAGACCCATTATTTACACTAGAAGTGTTGGTAGCAGTACCAAAGGGAAATATACCCCCAGTTATTGCTGAGGATGCAGCAGCAGAAGACAATCCTTCTTTCGAAACATCATTATCAACACTCTTGTTTGATTCAGATGCTCTAGTCAAGGAATCAGCTAAAATGCTGCAAATTAAACATAAAAAAAACTTGTAGGCTATAATTCAATAACACATGATGACATACAATAACAAATCTAGAAAAGATATGGCTGGATGACTTCAAACTCAAACAGAGAGGAAAAAGGGGCAGGCATCAAAGTGAAGTACATAAACACCATATTAACATACGACTATCAACTTTCATAGCAGCTACAGCTCCCAGCTCCTAGAAATATAAACAGGATTCATTCAGAAAGATTTCTTTTCAGGTTCCCTGTGCTGCTTTATCTTCTATCAGCCAAAACTACACAAATTACCTAAGAATATGATTATGCAAAATATGCTTCACAAGATCTTAACTCAGACCTATACAGCATAAAGCCCATTTTATCAGGGAAGTAGAACCGCGTGACTTGTTATAACTTCTAGATTTCTCCCTTCACGGTTATATCCAGCTTTTAATTGGGAAAGAAAACAGTAATCATATAAAAGACCCTTAAAACCTGAACAAAAAATAAAGTAACAAAGAAGTTACCCTGAAAAGATAACCTTTCTAGATACGAAAATTGCAAGAAATATACTAACCTGCTTGGTTTTGCTGGGTTTGAATCTGACGAAACACCAAATTTTGCACCCAAAGATTCACTAGCAGCTGAAGATGCAGGGGCATTAGTAAACTGTTGAGCCTCATCAACATTTTTTGAGCCAAAATAAATGTGGAAGAACCAACTTTTAGATCCCCAAATAGAGGAATTTTCTCCCCAAAGCTAGATATAGCAGGAGCAGCACTAGATTCCTTTTCAGAAGTAGGAGTACCAATTGGGGGGGATTCAGTGACTACCACAGATTGCTGAACAGCAATGCCACCTGATGCAGGCAACGAGACAATCTCAGTGCTCCTTCCAGCATTCAAATTCTGATCAGAAGCTTCATTCTCAACTTTATTATTAAAAGTAGAACTTGCTAGAGGCTTGATTTCAGACAGAGGAGATACAGCAAGGGGAGCTGATACAGCTTTATTAGAATACTCGTCATCATCTAGCTCCACATAATCCTAAAATAAGAACAAAAATACTTAAGTTGCCATAGCCTTTTATCAAGAACAAAAGTGAAAAATGTCTGTTAGGCAATAAGTTAAGATTCTGTAGCCAAAGAAATATCAAGAACAACAAGAGTGAAAAACGTCTGCTAGGCAACAAGGTTATTCATTATGCTGTGACCTTGGACTAGTCTACTAGAAGTGCTACAGAAGCAGCAACTCTTTTTTTTAAGACAAGAATGTAAAATAAATAAAAGATCTTGAGAAACAGCATCAAACAGATTCCCCACAATAGCTTCAGCACAAACCTTAAATGGGAATTCATGATATCTAAATTAAACAGAAATATACCAAAAGCAAGAATACACCAGAACTATTACTAAACTGATAACAGATCAATCAGTTACAATAAGGTACAAAATTAACGAAATGAAAACTAAATAGTGCTTAATCATTAGTAGGTGGCGAACAAAAAGCACATATTACCTCATGTGCACTCATCCGAAAGGCTCTTTTACTTTGTGAAGGGGGGTCCATACAAGAGTTCACACCTGGTGAACCTGTAGCTGTTGCACTAGGCACAACAGCTTTTGTGAAACCTGTAATAACTGCACCATTCACAACCGAGCCAGACTTATTATTGGAAATAGAGAAATTTTCCCGGGCATTTTCTTCAATGACATCCTGCTTTTGGGAAGTCAATTCCCAGGTATTAGGGGGCAAAATATCTAGTGGAGCACTTGACTTCATATCATCCTGTAGATTCACCAGAAACTTAGAAGAATCAACATTCTCCAGGCTTCTAAGAGCTGGTCCACGTAGCATGGATGGTGACAACTTAGAAGGTGATTTATCCTTTGATGAGACCAATTTATCAAGTTGCTGTAATATTTTGGCAGCCATCTCGCTGGACTTGGAGGGAACAGGAGTCAAACTTGTACTACGAATGCTGCTTTCTGCATTGTCTGCAGATGTTTTTGCAAAACAATGATCTGCTGTAAGCAGCTTCTTTGTGGATAATGAATTATGCTCAGCATTGAAATCAATTCCAATTGCATCAACAGAAGGTGGACGTCCAGAGACAGCTAAACTCAAGTGCTTAGGAGAAAGAAGGCCAGCTTTCTGACGAATCCTACGAATAGGGCCTACAGAGCCTATGTCATTTTCTAAGACTGAACTCCCACGTTTTAGAGTCTGCAAAGTAAGAAAAAAACCAGTTATTTTATGAAATATATCCAGTTATCCCACTTTCCAGCCCAGCTCAAAAAAATGGAAAATAGCCAGGAATTCTTCCTCCAATATACCCCTTGTTTTGATCCTGAAACTCTGTTTTTCTCCCATGTACTTTGAGATGATGATGACAGCCTACCAAAAACTTCACCTGTGGGCCTAGCACCCTGAAAAATATAAAACAGTAAGACTTATCCTACAAAAGAAATATGAAGCTCCAAACAAGAATGGTTATGCTCAAACAAACGCACCCTAGTAGTAGCAGTTAAGCCATCCCTGGAATATGGTGTTCTAGCCATATTGTATAGAGCAGATCTGCCTCTGTATCTTGGAGTAGTAAAACCATTTTCAGAAACCTGAACACGACTAGACGACCTTGGCACAAGTGACATAATTGGTGTTTTTGGTGGAATTCTATTACCGAACATATTTGAAGCTTCACTTTGACTGCTTATACCTGCCATTGAAGGCGATACTTTTGAAGGCCTACTGCCCATGTAAGCTTTTGCAAGCTCTGCAGGTGAAGCAATATCCTCATCAAGAACCTGAAGACATTTTAGCCACTCAATATCATAAAGCAAAATGCAACATACATTCATATCAATGTTGCAAGAAATTTTATCATGTGCAACCAGCAAAGAGCACTTGCACATCTCAAAATATAAGTATATTAAATATTGATAGATTTCTTACACTTGAACTGATAAAAGGTGTAGATATAAGGTGTCCCTGTGTCCCATTTTCCCGAATAGGTGTGTTAGGTAACTCTTCCTTTCTTTCTTTAGATGCCAAAGACTTTAACGGGATCACTTCTGATATCTTCTCCTCATTTCCATAAGATGCATCAATAGTTCTTGAATGCAGTAAACTGGTTAGTCGATTAATCTCAGATCTGTAGGTTCAAAATTAAACTCATCAATAACATCGTATTTAAAAAGGCAAAAATATTTCTATCCATGCAATGCTACTGATCATAAAATATGGTTTTGCATGAATCTCCTATTGAAGCAACAGTAAAGACAATCAAAATGACAACCTTAAAAAGTCAAGAAACACATTGGACATTGGACATTAGCCAACTAAAGCAGCAATCTGTGACCTAACTGCTAAAAACTGGAAATAATCTGACTCCTTTTGCTGGTTTCAGATCAATTTTCCCTCCTGATTGCTGCTTTCAACTTCTCCCTGATTCTAGGAAGTGATGTTTGCTTGGGGAATGGCAAGAAAATTCTGGCCATAAAGTTATGGAAAAGCGAAGACTATAACAAAAACAGTTATATTTTGAAAAGGAATGACTGCCATGCAAATTAGTTTATACATCATAAGGTAAAATCACCAAACACAAGCCATGGTAATTCTCAACTTTTTAAATCACTTCTTTCTATCTCAATATCTTATACAGAAAAATAAAAACATGCTGCTTACGATAACTTGCCTTGTAAAAGTCTTCTGCCTTAATATTTGTTCCAGTTCAATAAATCCATCTCCATCAGAACTATTACATGGATTATCACACACATTGCTATCTCCTTCCTTAATGATGGATGGATTCTGCGCAGGCTTACAAAAATATCTATCAGCATTATCAAGATAGGGATAATATTGTGAAGAAACAACACCTTGGAACCAAAAATAACCAGCAGAGAGCAAATTTCTTGACGTGAAACATAAAGACAAATATGATCTTACAAAATGAAACAAAAAGTTAGATGACAGATAAAGGATATAAATTACAACTGAGACAAAAATCATAGTTCAATATACAGGTCAGCCAGATTTAAGTAATCCTCCTTTCTGACCTTTTCTGTACAACCCAAAATAAAACAACTGTCCTAGTAGACCAGAATGGTGCCACTTAAAGTTGCTTCATTATTTAATATAACCAATTAACGACGCCCTAAAGGCAAGGAAAAGGTGCTCCTTATGGAATGTAATATTTCAGTCCTTGCGGTCAAATCCCAAATGTTCACAATCCCAAAAACAAAAAAGCTTAATGAAAGGATGATTGCAATTCATGAAGGTTCTTAGATTTATTGGATAAAATTTTCGTATATGGAAATAGATGCTAAAATAATGCAAGATAACTTATCATAAGTACAAACTTAGTATAAGAAAAAAAGCTAATTGCAACTCACAGGAGAATCTTGTTGATGGTCTTCAGCCGTCATTTTTGCATTTGCCTCTGGTGAAAACAGGTAATTCAAATTAAGCCCATGGAAACAACTCCAACATTAAAATATGATGGAATAAAAATTATATTGACTCCACCAAGCAAGAAGCAGTCTCACGTCATCCTTGCACAAAAATATCATATTTCATACAGCATCCAAGTCTACACAATATATTAAGTGTAAATTAGTTTCTTAATGGAGAACAATATATTGAAAGCCTATTTACCATGTCTCAGTTGTAAAATGTGGAAGCTCTTTGTTTAAAAGCAGATACCACTTTTTCAGCTTTTGATAAATGTAGCATAGAAGATAAAGGTGAAATTTTTTTTAAAAAAAGGCTTTTAAGTTTTTGGCAACGTTAACATGGAAGTTAAGAATAAATGCCCAAAGTGCATCACTTTTGAAAACACACACGTCTTTAATGAATATATTTATTAATCTTCCTTTAACAATTCGTTTATTAACATGTATAATAGTAATCTATTATTATAATTTTAGTTTCATCGTAACTATTTACATAATTTTAATTTTAAAACCCCATATATGGAGAACTAAATAGATAATCATATTAAATAAAATGATAGCGAACTTAAACTTAAACTGAAAAGAAGCCAAATGTTAATAAAAAATTCATAATCATATTTTAAATCATTTACAATAACAATTTCCATTCATTTTTTTTAATTCATTCCAACATCCATACTATTACATCGTCACTATCAAACACAATAATCCATTATATACTAATAGCAGTTGCTAGAATAAGTATATATTCATATTAAATGTATTTCTATCAAAAAATATTCTCACGGCTCAATTAAGTCAGAGAGCACCAGCTTGATTAAATAGCCTCTAAATCAACTTTTATAAATCCTGAAATGTGGAGTTTATTTACAAATCCAATTTTCATGCTTATGATGTGAATAGAATTGAGTATTTGCAGAATGCTACATTTTTTAATGAAATTCATTTGTCGAGACATAGTCTCAATAACTAAACTCCCATAAAACTGTTACAATATCATTTGCAAGTAAAATTCTTTCCCTGGCCTAGTTATTTTTTTCGAGAAATAAAAAGAAGAAATAACATAAAGAATTACATTTCCAAGCATCTATCTCACTCAAAATGCATCATTAATGATATGAAATGAAGGCACCCAAATACCTAAAACAAAAAGTCAACCAAGTAGAGTAACCCGTACCTAAAACGCTCAAAGAATTTTCTAAAAAATAGTAGGTTCAAGATAAAAAACAGCGTATGTACAAAATCAGCCAGAACCTTAAAAGAAAAACCATAAATATTCCCACTACCGATCCCAACTCATAACAAACATATCTCCCCAAATGCAAAATAACCCGATTCCCTAATCGCTACCTAATTCAACAAAATTAAAAAAAAAAAGAAATAACCCTGATAACAATACAAGAAGTATCGAAACCCTATCACCCAGCTTCCTATACGTAATCCATACCGGACAAAGAAAGACGATTAATACAGAAAACAAGACTGCTTCCATATGAAAAAGACATGAAAACACTCACCTGTCTCTGGTGGCTGCGGAGGAGGAGGAGGAGGTAGCTGTTTCCGGAAAACAGAAGCGAATAACCTGTGAGCGCTTGAAGTTATGAGCCTCTGCGCCGGATCCATCAATTTCGATAACCAGCCATTATTGCGATTGCTATTGCTAGGGTTTCTTAGGCCAGTCGGCGGCCGATCGTATGGCGTCGATTGCCCCCTTCGAAACGGCCGCTTCCGAAACTTTCCCCCGGCCCCCAATCCACCGTCATACGGATTGGCCTCTTCTCGCGCCGTTGCCATGAAAGAGAAATGATGGAGGAGAGAGGGAACGGAAGCTAGGGCTTAGGAAGTTCGTAGAGAGAAAAACTTTAGAGCGAAAGAAAACGAATAACGGGACTAATTAGGGTTTTTAATGGTATGGTACAGAAAGCAGAATAATAAGAATCTTTTAAAAATGAAAGAAATTGGGGATCGAAATGGACAGTGGGTGTAAAATATTTCCCGTATATCAGCCACATGCTTTTTGAAATTTGCCTTCAGTATACGTTTACGCATAGATAACTTCTCTTGAGAAATTCAATTTTACACCTTGAAGCTTTGGTAGAGTTACCATTAAAATTAATAATGAAATATTAACTGTACATTAATATAAATAGATAAATCTTTTAAAAATATAATATAATAGATAAAAAAATTCCTAAAATATGTATAATATTTCAATTTAATTAATTTATTTTTAATTTAAAGTATATGCTTTG